AAATATAAAGGTTATATATATATAACCTTATAGAAATATATATATATAACTTTACTTGTTTTCACGTTTAGGACCCAAGTCTCTTTTGCTTATCAATAGTAGCTTTGAGATAATTCTGGATAGAATCCCTTGCCCTACAAGCTTTTTATGTATATACTGTAATTCCGTGGGCATGTTTCAATATTGTTTTTATCAATTCTCAGATTTAAATAGAAGTGATGAATTGGAAAGCTGTAATTATTAATATGGTACTAATTAAGAAGACTTTGTGCTTAGAATGAAAGTTCTTTTGGGTCTGTATCTTATGGGAAGTGAAGTAATGCAGGAAGATGAACTTTGTTCTTTTTTTCCTGTGTTTTTTGATAGGTACAATGGGTCTCTCCCAAATGGAGATAGAGGAAGAAGAAAAAGTAGGTTTGCTTTATTTAAAAGGCCCAAGGCAAATGGGGTGAAACCTAGCACTGTGCATATTGCCTGTACCCCTCAAGCAGCAAAGGTAAGCTGGGTTTGTCTACTTAAGTCTTATTTCTCCTGGTGCTGTCTAAAGAAGTCAGTGCTGAGATGAAATGATGTAAAAAGTATGAAGCTCTGGCTGCGAAAAGAACGGTTCATGTAAAAGAATGGTTTGTGTTTATCCAGGGTTTTTTTTTTTTTAGTACCTGTCAGAGTTAGCAAGAAATCATTCAGCAAAACAAATCTGGTGCCCAGTCTTTGCTGTGTCCAGAAAGAAAAATGTTTATTTTTGAACCATTGTGAATGTTCAGGGTGCAGGTTAGTCATGTAAAACACTTTATATTTTGTTTTCCTTCCAAACACACTACAGACATCTGTTCTAGCCTTCCTGTTTTCACGCTCATTCATGCTTTAGGGCTAACTTTGCTTCACTTGAAGCTGACTTTTAAACTATCCTTTTGCCAAAGCTCTGTGTGTGTTTGCTGCTCCATCCAACAAGCAGGATTTCCCCAGGGATGAGGACAGGTGAGTTTTGCAGGGCACATTTTTTTTACTGCTTGTAAACAAGTTCAGAGTTCCCATTAAGATGTAGTAAAAGAAGGACTTAGGTCCTGAACTTGAATTGTTTCCTGTCAAAACTAATACATTATAGCTAAGGTATTACCATGAAATACTTCTGCATTAGGGCAATTCAAGTGTATGTGCAGTTATGTTCAATAAGAAATGAAGCATTTCTACTAAAACCAATGGAACCTGAAAATGTTTAGAGTTGTTTAGAGATCTCCAGTGTCGAGATCAGGCCCTTGAACAAGTACAGCAGTGTTAAGTGTTTGAATCCCTAAATACCTTGATACTTAAGAATATTAATTCCTAAATTCAGGAAATGACATAAAGTAGGCTGAAATCAAAAGCATTTTGCTAACCAAGGTTACTGTAATGGAATTACATCTATAGGAGATCTGTGAAAAGAACATTTATTTTTGCTATTTCTTGATGTACTTCAAGTAAGAGCTGTTCAGAAGCACTATCAGAAGAGTGTTTGGCTTCTAGTAGGTAGTTGCAGAATTAAAATCTAGACTAACAAACTAAAACCTAGATTACTTTGCTACAACTTCTGCAACCTGTGCTGAATTTCTCCATTTTGCCCTATTTACCACAACTACTTGTTACCTTTTTTTTTGTCCGTGTATCTCATTAATCATCACTGGGTTTTGCTATGAATTCAGATCCCCTTTTTAGAGTGAAGTCCCCAAGTTTTTTGTCCTTGCTTTGCTGTTGGAGAAGTTCAGGCTGTGAAGGCTGTTGAAGGTGTTACATTCAGTTTTAGCCTTTGCACTCAGTTGTTTTGTTCTTTTGTGTACAGGCCAACATTGCTTTAACACAAAGTATGACTAAGAATAATAATAATATGTCTTGCTTACGTGTGTTTTGTTGCAGCGTGCGGTAAAGAGACCAGTTTGGTCTGTTGCTGAATCAGTCCTACAGCTCTTTTTTTTTTAATGGCTAGGACTGGTTTTTGTGAAGTTTAACTACAGGTGTGTCACTAACAACCATCTGCCTTACTGCATTAGTTGAGCAGAACAAGAGCCTGGTTGTATACAGTGTCTGTTTTGCTGCTGTATTCTGTAGAGTTATTGTTCACTGATCAATAATATTTGGCATTTTTTCCGTAGGCAATAAGTAATAAGGACCAACACAGCATATCTTACACTTTGTCTCGGGCCCAGACAGTAGTAGTTGAATATACACATGACAGCAACACCGATATGTTCCAGGTATGTGAAGTCAATGTGATATATCAACATATTCTTGTTTTCAGTGGTTTCTAACGAGACATCCTCTCAACAAGCTTTTTCCCTCAGACTCAAAAGTTTGCACGTGTTGTTTTCTTCACTTTACTGCTCAGAGGTGTTTGATTCTGTTCATTCCCAAGGCCGTGCTGTGAAGAAGGCTGTATATCTGTGCATCTCTTTTAGGCTCGGGCAGAGGTGAAAGTTGGTTGTTGTTTTGTTCTTTGGTTGGGTTTTTTTTTCGTGACTAATGCCCACGATTATTATGGTTTTGCCTTTGATTACCGGTCTGCGAGTCACGTAACCTGTCTCCTAGTCCCTCCTTGCAAAGTGAAGAATAAAGTGCATTGTTCTTTTTAAGCACTTGGAAATTTGCTTCAAGCTTTTACAAAGGGATTTGGGATCAGCCAATTGGAGACGGGGTAGAAGAAATACAATGTGAAAATACAGGAAAGCTTTTGATACAACTAATATGAAAAATACCCCTAACTCCTTTAAGTAAACCCAGAAATCAGTCTGAAGTGCTGGGAAATGTAGAGAGGGGGCCTGGTTCTGATGTGCTGGCAGTTCAGAGTGACTTTGCTGCAGTTCCTGTATGTATGAGAAGGAACCACAAACACATTTGCAGCTGTGGTGTGCGCTCTTATATCTTATAATTATTTCCTGTTTTTCTCAAAAGGAAGGGTTTTGTTTTGGGAGGGTTTTTTTTTTTTCTGTGTACTTTGTTCCTTCTGATTCTTGGGGCTGATCTTGCATTGATTTTTTTTTTGTTGTTGTTGTTATTGTCACTAACTTATGGCAAGGAGTTTTGCTGTCACAGCATTTAGCTGTGACGCCACTGCAGGACCTAAGGAGATGGGAGGTGTTGTTGGTAAGTGGTGGAGGAAGCTGCTCTGCAACTGCCAATACCTACAACAGAGCAAAAGGGCTGTAATGAGCTAACTGCAGCATAAGCTAGTGTTTGTGCAAGTGTTCTCTCTTCAGGCATGCTGTGGCATGTACACTGCTCTAAAATTACCAGTGGCAATCCCCGTGTGCTGATGGGTTTATCCTGCCTAAGAAGCAATAGAAAAATACATTCTGACAAAGCAGTTTCAGTCTCTTGAAAGCTCTCCATCCAGCCTCCACCAAAACGCACCTCAGGCTTTTGGGTCTCCTGCTCAGCACTTAATCAGTCTTAATATAACCAGCAATTTTATAAGAGGCTGTGGAGAGCGCTGGAAGTGAGTGAAAGGTAGTTGTGTGTAAGAGGGCTTTAAACCTTGGCTACAGGGATATTGGAGGGAGGGAGATAACTTCTGTTCATGCTTGGTAAGGAAAAGGACAAGGTGAGTTGACTGGAAAAGCAGTGAAACCCATGCAGTTCTGTCAAACCCAGTAGAATCACAGAATGGTTTGGGTTGGAAGGGACCTTAAAGCTCATCCAGTTCCAACCCCCCTGCCAGCAG